GTAAGGAGGTAATTAGGCGTTACCACTATAGAATTCGATGTTGCGGGCATTACGTAAGGAGGTAATTAGGCGTTACCACTATAGAATTCGATGTTTCGGGCATTACGTAAGGAGGTAATTAGGCGTTACCACTATAGAATTCGATGTTTCGGGCATTACGTAAGGAGGTAATTAGGCGTTACCACTATAGAATTCGATGTTTCGGGCATTACGTAAGGAGGTGATTAGCGTTACCACTATAGAATTCGATGTTTTAGGGCATTACGTAAGGAGGTGATTAGGCGTTACCACTATAGAATTGATGTTTCCGGGCATACGTAAAGGAGGTGATTAGGCGCCACCACTATAGAATTCGATGTTTAGGGCATTACGTAAGGAGGTGATTAAGTTACCACTATAGAATTCGATGTTTCGGGCATTACGTAAGGAGGTAATTAGAAGCTACCACTATAGAATTCGATGTTTCGGGCATTACGTAAGGAGGTGATTAGGCGTTACCACTATAGAATTCGATGTTCGGGCATTACGTAAGGAGGTAATTAGGCGCTACCACTATAGAATTCGATGTTTAGGGCATTACGTAAGGAGGTAATTAGCGCTACCACTATAGAATTCGATGTTGCGGGCATTACGTAAAAAGGGGAGGTAATTAGGAAGCTACCACTATAGAATTCCATGTTTCGGGCATTACATAAGGAGGTAATTAAGTGACCACTATAGAATTCGATGTTTCGGGAATTCACGTAAGGAGGTGATTAGGCGTTACCACTATAGAATTCGATGTTTCGGTATTACATGAAGGAGGTGATTAAGTTACCACTATAGAATTCGATGTTGCAGGCATTACGTAAGGAGGTGATTAGGATACCACTATAGAATTCCATGTTTCGGGCATCACGTAAGGAGGTAATTAGGCTGTTACCACTATAGAATTCGATGCTTGGGGCATTACATAAGGAGGTAATTAGCGTGACCACTATAGAATTCCATGCTTGGGCACACGTATGAGGTGATTAGGCGCTACCACTATAGAAATTCGATGTTTCGGGCATTACGTAAGGAGGCGGATTAGCGTACCACTATAGAATTCGATGTTTTCGGGCATTACGTAAGGAGGTAATTAGGCGTTACCACTATAGAATTCGATGTTTGGGCATTACGTAAGGAGGTAATTAGAGCGTTACCACTATAGAATTCGATGCTCGGGCATTCGTAAGGAGGTGATTAGGCGTTACCACTATAGAATTCGATGTTGCGGGCATTACGTAAGGAGGTCATTAGGCGCGACCACTATAGAATTCGATGTTTCGGGCATTACGTAAGGAGGTAATTAGCGTTACCACTATAGAATTCGATGTTTCGGGCATTCACGTAAGGAGGTAATTAGGCGTTACCACTATAGAATTCGATGTTTCGGGCAATACGTAAGGAGGTGATTAGGCGTTACCACTATAGAATTCGATGTTTAGGGCATTACGTAAGGAGGTGATTAGGCCGTTACCACTATAGAATTCGATGTTTCGGGCATTACGAAGGAGGTGATTAGAAGCGTTACCACTATAGAATTGATGTTTCGGGCATTCGTAAAGGAGGTGATTAGGCGTTACCACTATAGAATTCGATGTTTTCGGGCATTACGTAAGGAGGTAATTAAAGCTACCACTGTAGAATTCGGCGTTTCGGGCATTACGTAAGGAGGTAATTAGGCGTTACCACTATAGAATTCGATGTTGCAGGCATTACGTAAGGAGGTAATTAGGCGTTACCACTATAGAATTCGATGTTGCGGGCATTACGTAAGGAGGTAATTAGGCGCTACCACTATAGAATTCGATGTTTCGGGCATTACGTAAGGAGGTGATTAGGCGTTACCACTATAGAATTCGATGTTTCGGGCATTACGTAAGGAGGTAATTAGGCGTTACCACTATAGAATTCGATGTTTCGGGCATTACGTAAGGAGGTGATTAGGCGTTACCACTATAGAATTCGATGTTTCGGGCATTACGTAAGGAGGTAATTAGGCGTTACCACTATAGAATTCGATGTTTCGGGCATTACGTAAGGAGGTGATTAGGCGTTACCACTATAGAATTCGATGTTCATGGCATTACGTAAGGAGGTAATTAGGCATTACCACTAGGTAAGGTAATTAGGCGTTACCACTATAGAATTCGATGTTTCGGGCATTACGTAAGGAGGTGATTAGGCGTTACCACTATAGAATTCGATGTTCATTACGTAAGGAGGTGATTAGGCCGTTACCACATAGAATTCGATGTTTCGGGCATTACGTAAGGAGGTAATTAGGCGTTACCACTATAGAATTCGATGTTTCGGGCATTACGTAAGGAGGTGATTAGGCGTTACCACTATAGAATTCGATGTTTCGGGCATTACGTAAGGAGGTAATTAGGCGTTACCACTATAGAATTCGATGTTTCGGGCATTACGTAAGGAGGTAATTAGGCGTTACCACTATAGAATTCGATGTTGCGGGCATTACGTAAGGAGGTGATTAGGCGTTACCACTATAGAATTCGATGTTTCGGGCATTACGTAAGGAGGTAATTAGGCGTTACCACTATAGAATTCGATGTTTCGGGCATTACGTAAGGAGGTGATTAGGCGTTACCACTATAGAATTCGATGTTTCGGGCATTACGTAAGGAGGTAATTAGGCGTTACCACTATAGAATTCGATGTTTCGGGCATTACATAAGGAGGTAATTAGGCGTTACCACTATAGAATTCGATGTTTCGGGGAATTACGTAAGGAGGTGATTAGGCGTTACCACTATAGAATTCGATGTTTCGGGTATTACGTAAGGAGGTAATTAGGCGTTACCACTATAGAATTCGATGTTGCGGGCATTACGTAAGGAGGTGATTAGGCGTTACCACTATAGAATTCGATGTTTCGGGTATTGCGTAAGGAGGTAATTAGGCGTTACCACTATAGAATTCGACGCTCCGGGCATTAAGGAAAACAAAATACGTTATACAGTACATTTTATATTGTGGCCACTTTGTTATACGGGCATGCCCCGGCATGTGTTTCCTTTTTTTGTCGAACCTTTCGGTGGAATTATGGTATTATTGTGGTTTTGGGGGTTTGTTAGAATGTGCCTGGAATTGGTGTTTGTGCCATATCTTGAAATATTTCGCAGCCACAGAGTAATTTAGATTTGATGAGTAATTTATATAATAGTAGTAATGTTTGTTTGTTGCTACCCCATTTACTACGTGATAGGTATTTAATAATGTTGAGATCTGACTTTCTGGTTTTCATTAACCCATATATTGCTCCATCGCCGGCAAACTGGGATGTGTTTATGGTTTTACTGAGGTTGTTCAATATATAATCAGATTTGATGGTCTATGGAGACCTTAAAGTCTCTCTGTTAGAAAGGCTGATGCAAAAGTGATGAGTTGGCACTTGACACGCTTCCGTCAGTATTATGAGCGGACGTACTTTTAGTAGGTCTGTTAATTGGCGTATAGGCTCAAGAGACTGGACCCAATAGTTGGTCACACTGAAACAAAAATATCATGTGCAGCCCAAGCAAGTCTATCACATTTGGCATGTCAAGAATACCGCAGTTAGTAAATATCATCTCTGTAGTTTTTGTTGTTGTATGTAATTATTTAATTAAGATAATTTGACAACTGTTTTCTGTAAAATATCTACATTGTACAGTAACTGTTGTTAAACCAGAGAGAGCAATATTTATATCATGTTGCTTGGCAACGGTATGAGAATATCTACTGAAACGTCAAATAATAAGGAAGTCGTCATAATTGAAGTTGTATTTTTTCTTCTATTACTCAACAACTTTTAAAATTGTAGCTGGTGCGGTGGGGTAGCCTAGTGGTTGATGCGTTGGCTCGTCACGCCGAAGACCCGGGTTCGAATCCCCACATGGGTACAATGTGTGAAGCCCATTTCTGGTGTTCCCCGCCGTGATGTTGCTGGAATATTGGTAAAAGCAGCGTAAAACCAAACTCAGACAGTCAGTAAAATGACAGCTAAAAGCACCATCAATCCAGCATGTGAAATGAGAACTTGTTACTGCTATGTGCAGGGGTTCAATTGTTTTTTTTTTAAAGACTTTCAGAAAGTTACTTGTCCTGACTAATTTTCCACTTGCCCTGATTAATATGACATATTCATTATGATGTTATTATGAAAGCATAAATCACAGTGGTATTTGATGTAAATGTTAAGTGGAATTTATATTTCCGCTTACCATCGCCCACTTGACATTATATGTTGACACACTCCCCTATCAACGAATGTTTACGTGCGTATGTACATGCTTGTGTTACCAGTAATAACTGACTCACAGGATATAAGTCATATAATCTCAACTACGTCGACCAATATTAGCTATAATGTTTCAGCACGGCTGTGCAATTTGTATCAGTGTTTGTCTTGCGGAAGGCTGCCGGCTGTGATGAACTTTATTCTAAATTTGCCTGAAATTGGGTAGTGAAAGATTAAATTGTTTGAAATTTTGTAACTACTATTTTCGATTAACCAAATTGTATGCATGAGCGTGGCAGGAGTATCTTGTTTTGTTTCACGTGCTTGGGTAGGTGCTCAGGCGTGTGCCACCTCGTTATCCGCCAACAACCAACCACGCTTTTACCTCACTCACTCACTATTTCCCCGCCAATAGCGACCCACACCTCGTTTCCCGCCAACAGCCAATCACGCTTTTACCTCACTCACTCACTATTTTCTGGCCAATAGCGACCCACACCTCGTTTCCCGCCAACAACCAACCACACTTTTACCTCACTCACTCTTCCCGTCAAGAGCAGCAGACACTTCGTTTCCCGCCAACAACCGACTTCACCGCGTCCTCCACAACATTGTTAAAGGGTATTTCTGTCATGGTTATAACTGTATTTGCGATAAGGTTTAACATATTTTAGCATATTGATTGAGACTTGCTGTATCACGGTTACTAGGTGAGGTTTAACGTCACTCAACGTCAATAACCAGTATGCCTCCCGTGAGCATCGATAACTGCTTGGCATCTCCTGCCCATGGAAGCGATGAGATGACGAATCACATTCTGTGTAATGGAAGTCCACTCAGCCTGCAAAGCTGCTGCAAGCTGAGGTAGAGTCTGCGGTTGAGGTTGTCGCCGTCGCAGACGTCGGTCCAACTCGTCCCAAAGATGTTCAATGGGATTTAAATCTGGTGATTTGGAGGGCCAGGGAAGAACGATGATGTTGTGGTTTCTCAAGAAGGCAGTGGTGAGGACGGTCGTTGTCCTGCTGAAAAAGGTCCTTGACATTCACCATGATGTGTTGCATATGGGGCTTAAGAATCTTGTCAACGTATCGTTGAGCCGTAAGATTCCCTCGAATGTGCACAAGGTCTGTTCTGGCATTGTAGGCGAATCAGCCCACATCATGACATTATCACCACCATATCTGTCAACTTCCTGCACACAGTTTGCTGCAAAACGTTCACCTCGCCGACGGTAAACACGGGTCCTTCCATCCTGCCTACGAAGCATAAAACGTGATTCATCGCTGAACCAAACTTGCCTCCACCGTAGATGAGGCCATACCCGATGTGTTCGAGACCACTGCAGCCGTGCTTGACGATGTTGCTGGGTGAGGATGACGCCTCTGACCAGACGTAGAGGTTGGATTCCTGACATCTCGTAGACGGTTGCGTACGGTCTGATCGGAAATCCTACGCAGCCCTGGTATGGTTGAGGCAGTAGACGTCTCAGTGGTGGTCCTACCCCGAAGGTGACGTAACCGGATGTAGCGATCTTGGGTGGACATTCACAGCTCTGGCAACATCTGATCGAGATTCACTTGCTTCCAAGCGACCAATGGCGTTGTTGCGTTGTGCTTCATTCAGTCTGGGCATGACTGTATTGCGTGTCGGTGGTTTTACACTAAGCTATGGAAACCGAAAACCGGTCACCTTTATAGGGATTTTGCTTATGTTGCACGTGCAGAACGTGAAGATCTCTCAAACAAATTTATTGGACACGAATGGGTTTTGGCGAAAAAGTCAATGTTTTCACAGTGGTCAACTTTTATTGTCGTTCTTTTCTAACAATCAGTGCCTCAACACGTGTAAAATCATATACTGTGAGCTTGTAACGTTATTACATATATTTCTCTTTAAAATTTAAAAAAAATACCCCTTTTGCGTTTCTTTTTTTTATAAACCTATGACTTGTTTTAGTCACAATATTGCTGAACTATTACCGATGAGACTATAAATATTAATTCACTCGGGGGATATTGCGCGATATTACAACTTGATTGAGGGTAAAATTTTACACATATTATTACTCCAAGTTATACCTTCATCTGCATTGCTACTACTGCCTTGTCGCCGCGCATGACTTGCCTCAAAATCAGATAAAATTTGCTTCATTTCAGGATGTACGAAATGTGAAAAATAATGAAAAAACCCAATGATCATTTTTTAGCATACATCCAAGGAAACTATCATTTTATAAACAACCTAAAGATGAAAATAATATACTTATTTCCTGACAAATTATAGCTTTGTAAGTGATACTGCTATTGCCTTGGCGCTTGACAGACTGTTTACAGCCCGGCTGACCTCGAAATAGTGAATGTCTGACTCATTTGATGATTTAATGAGTGCAGAATAACAGACACACATTAATCACTCTTTGTATATTGCAGAATAACAGACACACATTAATCACTCTTTGTATATTGCAGAATAACAGACACACATTAATCACTCTTTGTATATTGCAGAATAACAGACACACATTAATCACTCTTTGTATATTGCAGAATAACAGACACACATTAATCACTCTTTGTATATTGCAGAATAACAGACACACATTAATCACTCTTTGTATATTGCAGAATAACAGACACACATTAATCACTCTTTGTATATTGCAGAATAACAGACACAATAACAGACACACATTAAATCACTCTTTGTATATTGCAGAATAACAGACACACATTAATCACTCTTTGTATATTGCAGAATAACAGACACACATTAATCACTCTTTGTATATTGCAGAATAACAGACACACATTAATCACTCTTTGTATATTGCAGAATAACAGACACACATTAATCACTCTTTGTATACATTAATCACTCTTTGTATATTGCAGAATAACAGACACACATTAATCACTCTTTGTATATTGCAGAATAACAGACACACATTAATCACTCTTTGTATATTGCAGAATAACAGACACACATTAATCACTCTTTGTATATTGCAGAATAACAGACACACATTAATCACTCTTTGTATATTGCAGAATAACAGACACACATTAATCACTCTTTGTATATTGCAGAATAACAGACATACATTAATCACTCTTTGTATATTGCAGAATAACAGACACACATTAATCACTCTTTGTATATTGCAGAATAACAGACACACATTAATCACTCTTTGTATATTGCAGAATAACAGACACACATTAATCACTCTTTGTATATTGCAGAATAACAGACACATTAATCACTCTTTGTATATTGCAGAATCACTCACATTATCACTCTTTTGCAGAATAACAGACACACATTAATCACTCTTTGTATATTGCAGAATAACAGACACACATTAATCACTCTTAATCACTTTGTATATTGCAGAATAACAGACACACATTAATCACTCTTTGTATATTGCAGAATAACAGACACACATTAATCACTCTTGTATATTGCAGAATTGCAGACACACATTAATCACTCTTTGTATATTGCAGAATAACAGACACACATTAATCACTCTTTGTATATTGCAGAATAACAGACACACATTAATCACTCTTTGTATATTGCAGAATAACAGACACACATTAATCACTCTTTGTATATTGCAGAATAACAGACACACATTAATCACTCTTTGTATATTGCAGAATAACAGACACACATTAATCACTCTTTGTATATTAATCACACATTAATCACTCTTTGTATATTGCAGAATAACAGACACACATTAATCACTCTTTGTATATTGCAGAATAACAGACACACATTAATCACTCTTTGTATATTGCAGAATAACAGACACACATTAATCACTCTTTGTATATTGCAGAATAACAGACACACATTAATCACTCTTTGTATATTGCAGAATAACAGACACACATTAATCACTCTTTGTATATTGCAGAATAACAGACACACATTAATCACTCTTTGTATATTGCAGAATAACAGACACACATTAATCACTCTTTGTATATTGCAGAATAACAGACACACATTAATCACTCTTTGTATATTGCAGAATAACAGACACACATTAATCACTCTTTGTATATTGCAGAATAACAGACACACATTAATCACTCTTTGTATATTGCAGAATAACATTAATTAATCACTCTTTGTATATTGCAGAATAACAGACACACATTAATCACTCTTTGTATATTGCAGAATAACAGACACACATTAATCACTCTTTGTATATTGCAGAATAACAGACACACATTAATCACTCTTTGTATATTGCAGAATAACAGACACACATTAATCACACTTTGTATATTGCAGAATAACAGACACACATTAATATAGGTCAAAGCCGACAAAGAGTGATTAAACAGCAGAACCATTCTAAAACCTTCATTTTTACAGACTCTCTGTCCTGCCTTCAAGCACAAAATGTCACTTCGAGTCACCCTATCATCCTAGACACTTTAGAACTTTACAACGATATTTCAACTGGCCAATGTGACATCGCTCTCTGCTTGTTACTGGGTCACGTCGGCATAGCAGATAACACAAAAGCCGATGCTGCAGCTAAGGTAGCTCTTTACAAACCTTTACCCTCAAAACTGATCCCGTAGTGATTTTAAGCCCACTATCAAACGTTTTACTCCAGACCTCATGCAAAGAAGGTTGGACACCCAGGTAGGAAAACATAAACTTCACAAATTGAAACCACAAATCGGTTATACCTACCTACTTGGGTTGTCAATCAAGAAGTGATGAGGTAATTTTACAATGATGTCGTATTGGCCACAGTCGGTTTACCCATGATTATCTGCCGAAAACGGAGGCTGATGGACCTCCTATGTGTACATGTGTCACTTGTGACGAAGTGTTCACCATCAAGCATATTCTGCTTGTCAGTGTGGACTTTTCAACAGCGAGGGGCTCCCATTATGAACCAAGGAATTAGAAAGATCTGTTTTCCCGCGTCAGAGGGCATATAAATCATACTATGTAATGTGAATGACGGATTGCTTTTTTTTTAATTTGCTGTTATGATATACTAGTATTCGGTAAATAACAATGAAAGGGGTATATATTGTTTTCAAGAAGTCCATTTTTACTTTGTACTTAAAATGTGGGTGAATGCAGGCTTGGTATCGTCGCTCTATGGCTGGAATAATGCCGTTGTGACTTAAAACCCAACTCAACTCAGGTACATAAAACTGTCCATACTTTGTATTTCTTGTGACAAGCCAGTTTACCAGAAAACAGATATAACACGGTGTAATACAAAGCACGATGATACATCACCAGCTGCACTGATGAATTAATATACGTTGAAGTTGAAGTAGGAATATTTATGGAAAACTCACTCACTCCAAGACTGCTGAGCTTGTCAGTTTCACTATACAATTCCTTGGGCTGACAAGAAAACAGCCTTGTCTTTAACCAACACCCTGAAGCACATTAGAATTGTGTTGTTCCTTCATGTATTGGTAAATAATACGGAAGTTGATTGTAACTATGAAAAAACGGTCTCTGAAGCATTCTAAAGCCGGGGCCGGGGCGGGGCGGGGCGGTGGGGTAGCCTAATGGTTAAAGCGTTGGCTCGTCACGCCGAAGACCCGGGTTTGAATCCCCACATGGGCACAATGTGTGAAACCCATTTGTGGTGTCCCCCGCCGTGATGTTGCTGGAATATTGCTAAAAGCGGCGTAAAACCACACTCAGTCAGTCAGTCAGTATTTGAGCCATATCGTGGCGAGGAATAGACATCAATCACAAATATATATTGTATACATTCTTATCTGACTTACACATCCTAAAACCACAGTTGCTAATGCGGAATACAATCAATTTAATGAGGATATTTTTCTTCCCATTGAATCTGAAAGTAAAGCACAGTTATAATACATATGAGTAAGGTCATTATACAGAGCAGATGCAAATTATTCCGTGATAATATGTTACACACTACCACAACATTTTACAATACTGCCACTGAATTGTTGCCACTTGTGCCGGTGACTCATATATAGATTTATATAGAGAGATATAGATTCTTAACCCACTTCATCGGAACATTTCCGACAGGCCAAAACATCACTTGACGTGAAACGTATTTTCCATGCTATCGTCAGTAGGTTGGTTTGTTGTTTAACGCCACACTCAGCAATATTACAGCTGTATGGCAGCAGTCTGGACCAGACAATCCAGTGATCAACAGCATGAGCATCGATCTATATATCGATAAAGAAATGGTGACAACCCAAAATTACATACTCATGGTTCAGTGTTGGTTACAGCAGAGTTCATAGAATAGTACACTTACAAAGTAGGTGAATGAGGGTGTGTGCGTGTCTGTCTGTCTGTCCGTCTGTAGCTGTTTGTACCAGCCCTGACCAGTGACCAGACACTGAAATACCAATCTTCCCGAGGCAAGGGCGGCCCTGGCCTATAAAAAAGTCTTGCGAATACCGGAATCTCAAGAAACCAGTGAATAGCACAATTGCTGACAGCTGAACAGATGGTGAAAATCCAGCTAGGGTCCATGCAGAGCAATTTAAGTAACTCCCCATCGTCCTTAGTATGGTGATCTGTTGTCGATGATTTGCAGCCAGTTATATATTGCATTGTCTATAGTTTTATATTCACATGAAAGTATTTACATCTGTATTTGTGATATTGTTTGTAATGTAGTTCACAACAGGTGATAATATTCTCGATTTATGTGTCATGAATATATATCTTGGGCTTTTTAAGTCACTGTATGACTGAAATACATGATACATTGTATGACCAGAAATTATTGAGAATTTCAGGAATATGTTTAATTGGATTTCTAGTATAAACAACCTTGACCAGCTATCAAGCGCTTGGTTTCATTCCAGAGAGACAACTCCGTTAATCCTTTTTCATTAGTTTGTGAAGAGTTATCCCCCTTTGTTTACTTGCTCACAGACGACATTTTCAGTGATCCTCAGTATGGATGATTTACGTACATACATACAAACATGTGTATAGAGCCGATATCCAGTACAACTGCTCAAAGGCGCTTTGTGTTCCCTCGATCATTGGATGTCCATCACAACGGCACATCGTATTTTCAATCTCAACTCCCTGGGGATCATACAACTCTTGCTGCCTACTAGGTGCACCGAGTTAATGTGGCTTTCCCATCCTTACGAGGTACCCATTCACAGCTGGGTGGACTGGGACACATAGTCACAGTACTTTGTCCAAATTTACTGCACGTTGATATACCCACAACTAGGTGTTTGCACGTATTTATGTGGCCACCATCTGGTCATCAACCAACAGATTCGTGGGTTCTTTTAAGTGCACAGGGCTGTGTACTGTACACTAGGGGTTGTAACATCACTGAAAGAGTCTGCACACAAAGTTGACTCCAAGGTTTTTTACACCCGGTCACAGGTGGGTTCGATCCCGGCACCTCCAAGCTCGCTGGATTACTAGCCTGACGCCTTAGACAGCTCGCCCACCTCGCCCACCATTTAGAGAAGAGGAAGTTGATTTTAGAGTATTATATCAAGGACATCAGATCAGTTAAAGTGATTTCAAGAAGAACAGGCATCCCTTTGTCCACTGTTTATCGTGTTTTGAAAAATATTGCAAATGGATATGGCATTGAGCACCAGGGAGGCGCAGGTAGGCCCAGAAAATTGACTGTCGGTGACAGGAGGCGGCTTGGTATTCTTGTTTCTAAAAACAAACGAAGGAGTTTAGAAACCTTAAGGCTGGATATGATTGATAGAGGAACTGTGGCTGTCTGTAAGGAGAGCTGAGCTGCATGCAATGGGTTGGCAGAAACGTCGAGGAATTCCATCACCGATCATGAAACCTGAACAAAAGGAGCGAAGGTTAGAAATGGTGCTTACAGCATAGAAATTTTAACTGGGACAATGTGATTTTCTCAGATGAAAGTTCTGTGTGGCTGTTTCCTAATACACTGGAATTCTAGACCAAACACACTGAAAAACCTTTGTATCAGAGCCCAAAGTACAGTCCGAAATTTAACGTGTGGGGTGGCATATCATTGTTAAGGGCAACGCCCCTGTGTGCATTTGAAGGGAATATGAACAGTGAGCGGTACACAGATATTCTCGAAGGACATTTACTTTCATCTGCTCACGTGTTCTATGAACAATTGTGGATTTTCCAGCAGGACAACTACCCAAAACATCGTTCAAAGCCTTCACAGGTCTGGTTTCGGACCCAAAATATGACATTATTAGATTGGCCAAGCTATAGCTCTGACCTAAATCCAATAGAAAATGTTTGGGGACTTATGAAGGAAAGTGTCAATAAGAAAATTCTAACAAATATTGCTGGAATGAAAGAAGAGTTGGTCTTATATTGGGACAGCATGGACCACGACTTTCTAACTTCTTTGATCAGTAGTATGCCCCGCCGCATTGAAGCCTGCATTGCTGCCCATGGTGACTTGACAACATACTAACTGTTCACTGTCTTTGAATTTGGAGTTATGTTCTGCTAATATTCACATACGTGATTAATGAGTGAATATTTTTTTAAAAATTACAATCTTAAATTCTCAATAATTTCTGGTTGTACTGTATATCTTCTATCACTTACTCCTTGCCGGGGTGAAGCCGTTGTTTACACAGTTTATATCCAGGTAACATGTTGATCTTCAGCAACCCTTGCTTGTCGTGAGAGCCGACTAGTTGGATCGGGTGGTCAGGCTAGCTGACTTAGTTGGCATCGTAACTAATAGCATAGATCGATGCGCCTTATTTATATCACTGGATTGTCTTGTCCAGAGTCGATTAATTACAGATTGCGGCTATATAGCTTCAATACCGCCGAGTGCAACGTTCAACAAAACAAAACAAAACACGGTTGCTGTTTAACGGCACACTCCATTCATATGAGAGTGGTTACTAAATAACCGAGAATGGACCAAACAATCCATTGATTTAAAATTAAAAAAACAACAACTCATTTTGCCGCCTCTTAGGACAAGCATAATGCCTCTGATGCTTGGTTGCTGAGGGCCAGTTCTAGGACGGATCTCCAGGGGTTCTCAAACATTGTATACGGACTAACAATATTTATGTTTAATCTAATGAATAACACTGCAGTATGTTACTAAACTCCATTTTAATCCATCCAATCCTGCCTTTAACACCGTTTTTTAAATCCACTTGATCAGACTTTGCTGTGATAAGAAATTCAACTGCACCACTTGGGATCCTAATCTAGCATCATATAACAGATACAAATATGAATTTGTCTGCAATTGCTGAATTCAATTTGCCGGAAGTGCGACCGTGACAGTGAATACATTTAGTTAAGATTTGAAGTCACATCAGCAAGTATTTCAGCCATAACGCGAATGAAACCAGTTGTCCGCTCATAATACACAAAGTTAACTTATAAAAACCTGTCAATGAAGACAGTGAAAAGAAAACATCACTCAGGTAGAAATAAATCTAGTATGTATATCCAAAATCTTTAGTCTGATGTCAATTTGGAAACTGACAATTAACCAAACTGAAAAAGGTTGCCAACAAGCCCTTGTTCTATCTACAATAATTGCTGGAACTATAGCGATGGATCAAATATTGGAGAAAGGATGTCAAGAACATATTTTCAGATAGCTTATCGTGTGCCTGCCGACACTCAGTAAGCGTGAAATTGGCTATCCGTTTATTGCAGAAATTATGAAATGACTTTTGAATCTGTGGCTTCTACTGACATCCTGTCTTGTTGGCTACCCAGTGACTTTGGAATTACGGGAAAGTTTCTGCAGCTAAATCAGCTCTTGCGTGAGTGAGGTATCAATAGGAATTAATTTTAATGATACGGACAATACAATAGAAAAACGGACTGGAGATGGCCAGCAACTGAAGGTAGATGACCCAGCCTGGGACCACGGGGACTATCTTTATTGACGGTAACTGGATTTAATATGAATGTTTTAAGTTGTTGAGTCACGATATCGCCGACGTGACTGTAAATCATAACTCACTCGTCGTGTCGTGTATCGCCTGTCTGACTTCAGAAATCCACATGGGTGTCACAAACCACCACACATGTGTACAGTCTGTCCAAGTTTTATAACCTGGTTAGTGCCGCTTCAACCTCGGATTGTTGTCCACCGTAAGTCGGAGCGACGATAGTGCACGGGCTGCAGGAAATTCACGTAGTTGAAACTGACACGGCACACTTCGAGACAAAGCTGGAGGGCAGAATATTTGCTCTGTACAACACATTCTCTATGGATAACACAACCAGTCGGAGAAATGAAAAAAGTACACACGCATGTCCCCCTTACTCCATCAGTAATAGGGAAGAAGGGGTAGCATAGTGGTTAACGCGTGATATGATTTGAGTAGAGTGACATCATCAGAAGGATATATTTTTCAGTATGTTAAGATACAATTAAAGAAACATGTTAAAACTAATCTTTATCACATGAGGAATATATATTCAGGTGATATGATTTGAGTAGAGTGAAATGTAAGGGGAAATACGGGCTGATGTCTTTCCAATAACAAAATACTTGGTTGTATAGGCTACAGGCTACCAACCTTGTCACTCTGCCTGACCAACCTAGCCATTAAGCTACCCCTGTTCTTTCCGGTTTGTTGATAGAGAACATAATCACATAGCTCTAACTTTTATAAATTTATCTTGCGTGTTTGTTGTTTGGCGACACTTACACATTCTACCCATACAAGAGCCGTCTGTAAATAGCGAATCTTGATCATACAATCCAGTGATCGACACCATGATAATCGATCTGCTGAATTTACATTCAGTTCATGAGTCTTATGACCACCATATCCGTTGTGATGCCTTTAGACAACCATGGGCTGATGGGCATCATTATTCTTACCAGGAAGCGAATGGGTCCAAGAAGTTTCAACATTAGCATATAGAAAAGTTATTATTCCCGTTGTTCAAAAACATCTGCCACCTGAGAGTTGTAAGCTACAACGTTGTTGTTGTTGTTGTTGTTGTTGTTTAACGCCGCACTCGGTAATTTTTCACTACGTGACTGGTTTGTAAATAATCGAGCCTGGATCAGAAAACCCAGTGATCAACTGCAAAATCCAGTGATTAACTGCATGAGCATCGATCTAATGAATCAGGCGGCGGTCCGGGCAGTGATTATCTGGTTCAGACTGTGCTACACAGGCTTTCAATGTGGGATCAAACATTGGTACTATACTAATACCGTCAGCCACAATGAGCCGTGCCCGATATATATTACACGCCACGTACAGGCGTGGTAGGGGCAGGTTGTGCAGGCGTGGTAAGAAGGGGAGAGAGAGGGGAGGGGACAGACGTGGGGAGGGGCAGGCGTGGGAGGGGGACAGGCGTTGGAGGGGGACATGCGTGGTAGGAGAAAGGTTGTGCAGGCGTGGTAGGGGCAGGTTGTGCAGGCCTGGTAGGAGGGACAGGCGTCGTAGAGGGGGACAGGCGTGGTAGGGGGACAGGCGTGGTAGGGGCAGGTTGTGCAGGAGTGGTAGGGGCAGGTTGTGCAGGCCTAGGAGAGGCAGGGAGGAGGGACAGGCGTCGTAGGGGGACAGGCGTGGGAGGGGGACAGGCGTGGTAGGGGGACAGGCGTGGTAGGGGCAGGTTGCGCAGGTCTGGTAGGAGGGACAGGCGTCCTAGGGGGGACAGGCGTGGTAGGGGGGACAGGCCTGGTAGGGGGGACAGGCGTGGTAGGGGCAGGTTGTACAGTGACAGCGGCGGATCACATTCAGCCGGCCATTCACTGCACTCGTCAAGGGCAACCTTGTGCACAGGGAAAGATATATTTACAAATTTACACACGTTTTACAGTCAATAAACCAAATATATCCAGGACAGCCAACACAAGTCTATCGTATAAAGTAAGTCTGAATTACTACAGCTCTGAATAGAAAATGTCTTGGCTCAAGATAATTATACAACTGTTGGTTTTCAGTAAGATATATTTCATTCTGAGACTGCCTTCTCTTGTTGCCTCAAATACATTTTATGAAACATTAATTAAGTTAAATGCAAGCCTGGAGTTTGTGATTTTGTAAACTGCCGCATCTCATGACATTTTGTAATAGAGCTTCACAACACCCGAGGCTATGGGTTTATACAATAACTTTAACAAAACCATATCTGACCAACAAATGGGTGGGGACAACTTAGATATTGTTTCCGTAAATGCTCGAAATATAAGAACAGATATTGTCTGAGAAATTCATGTGCGTATGTTCTTCCCGCTATAATCATACGTTCTTTAAATATGAAAAAGTTAAAGTGAGTGAGTTAGTTAAAGTTTAAAGTCACATCGGCAATATTTCAGCAATATCATGACTAAAACTAGTTCCAAATTGACAATACATACACATGATATATAAAACCCCGTCAACGAAGGGCAGTAAATTTTCCAGATTATCACAAAATGAGTTAAAACTAGCTAGCGCATATCTTTAAAAGCAGAAAACTATTTCTGGACAATACAATGTACAAATGGGCTATAGATCGCCAACAACTGAAGGTAGATCACCATACCAGGGACCATGGGGACTTACAGTGCCTTTGCTATCTACATGGACCTTAGCTGGAGTTACACCATCCCTTCAGCGACTAGCGATTGTAGTCAAATCTAGCCATAATGTAAAATTACAAAAATACTACGTTACAAAAATGTGGTAAGGTAGGTATCAATATACCTTGAATGATTTGGGACTTACGTACCCCCACAGGACAATTATTTTACAATGCGTCAACCCCCTGTGAGGATACAGCCACTTACAATCTAAGTTGTTAATTTAAACTACCCATGATAAAATACTATACAAAACATATCAATCATAATTTATCAAGTAATTCTATTTCTTTTAAAATTCAATAATTACATGATAATTAACATTATAAAAATAGATCCTTCAATGTTTTGACATTAATATAGGTATAGTCTTGTTTAGCGACAATATGGCTGGACTACTGCTGAGTCATACTACAGGTAATATACAAAGAAGGATTAGTTGATAATATTCTATGCAGGATCCTAGTATTTTACGCATGAATGAAAGGTTTTTTACTTTTAGTTAGGTTTTATATTATCGAGAAGACTAGTCACTATAGTTACAAGCCCATCAATAAATTGAATACCCTGTGATTGATGTATCACAATGTTTGATGATAATTTAATTATTTATGTTAGTTTGAAATATATGTATCATTAACAGTTTATCTGTTCAGTGCTTGAAATATCTTGTAAATGTGTAAATGGAGTATATGTTTTCTGGCATAGAATCAGTCTCTCCTGTTACTAAATTTAGAAGTAATTCTCTGTAGCTTGTTCATGTTGTTTTTTTCTTTTGTTTCATTGTCTCTGTCACCAAAGGTATTCAAATCAAATGCTCAGTTCCTGACTTTGTGATACCCTGGTTCCAGAGACTTTTTCTCCTCCAGGGTGGAAGGCAGATATATAAATGTAAATTGAAACCCTTAATTTCAAAGCCACACACGTCTTCGCAGTGTCCAGCAATTAAAATCTGACAGAGGCCGTCAACTGTTTGTCAGGGAAACTGAAGTGCACGTGCTGCACAAAATCCACCTGGTTTTGAAATTGACACGACACACAACAGGACGGCAGAAGCATTGGTCCAAATCTGTTCACTCAAGTAGTTTTACTATATGGCAGCATGCCAGGGGAAAGAGAAAAACATTTGCCTGACCCCTACACTCTCCCAGTAATAGGAACTTTAGAAAGCACCTCTTCCACCCTACCCCAGCAACGCGCCTGTATACTCAGTTGTCTGACCATGCTTTTAAATGACCAAATCTTATTTATATGGATTTGGTAAATTCTTTTGAACTACCGAGATGAGGCGATACCAAACATTAAAAGTAGGGTCAAATATGTGTCAAAAAATTCAAAATTCTTAGGATTATATTGTAAAAACCCATCAAGTCCAGCCCCACCTTAAGTCTGCCCCCAAACCCAAACTTACGGCCGCAAATTAAAACACCAGGTGAAACCACAAACCATACAGAAGTCGGTGGCTTAAATAATTTGAAAAGATTATAAGTATGCATGGACCAGACAATCCAATGATTGACATTACAATTAACCCACAACATATAGCGGGTTATCAAACTTGAGACTACCACAATCTCAAAACTCATACACGCCTTGATTTGGCCTTATCTTATACAAGATACAGAATGAGAAAGAAGACATTTATTCTCTTATTGTGTCCCACATTGTAACAATGTACACGTGAACAGTTAAAAGCGTGGTGAATAGAGGTATATTACAATGTCCGGCCAGTTGGCCTATGAGACACATGGGTTGATAAAATAACTGCACATATAAAATATAAAGCAGCCCATTAACGGATTATTACCAATGCATGGTGCATGTAGAGTACTGACATTATCACCGTGGGCCGGGTAGTGTTGTTTACATGCCGCCAGTAGGCGTGGCAAGGTACAGACTGTTAAACTGGGAGTGACAATGTCACGTGTATGTCATGCCCCAGACAGGCTTCTAGTGTGGAGACAATGTCACGTCTATGTCATGCACCAGACAGGTTTCTAGTGTGGAGACAATGTCACGCCTATGTCATGCACCAGACAGGCTTCTCGTGTAGTGACAATGTCACGCCTATGTCATGCACCAGACAGGCTTCTCGTGTAGTGACAATGTCACGCCTATGTCATGCACCAGACAGGCTTCTAGTGTAGTGACAATGTCACGCCTATGTCATGCACCAGACAGGCTTCTAGTGTAGTGACAATGTGACGCCTATGTCATGCACCAGACAGGCTTCTAGTGTGAAGACAATGTCACGCCTATGTCATGCACCAGACAGGCTTCTAGTGTAGTGACAATGTCAATGTCTTTGTCATGCACCAGACAGGCTTCTCGCGTGAAGACAATGTCACGCCTATGTCATGCACCAGACAGGCTTCTCGTGTAGTGACAATGTCACGCCTATGTCATGCACCAGACAGGTTTCTAGTGTAGTGACAATGTCACGCCTATGTCATGCACCAGACAGGTTTCCAGTGAAGTAACAGGTCTGGAAACTGTAGACAACTACATATGTGTATATATCATGATATATACTGATTGTTATTATTTATGTTGTGGTTTTTATTTGGGAGGTGGGGTAGCCTAGTTTTTTAAGCGTTCGCTCGTCACGCCAAAGACCCGGGTTGGATTTCCCACATGGGTACAATGTGTGAAGCGCATTTCTGGTTTCCCCGCAGTGATATTGCTGAAATATTGTTGAAACTAAACTTACTTGCTGTTCACGATGTAAACATATATCTCACACACTTCAGTCAGCTCATGATGTACACTTGAAGTCACCTAATAACATCATAGGCGAAGTTGTTCACACCCAAATGACCACACACCAAAGTGTGTCACAATGACGCCAAAACATATATATCAAGTACAACTCAAGCAAGTATATAACATTTGTCAAGTCTAGATTTTACTGCACTGAATCGACATATCTCGGCTCATTTTAATTATATATAATATTGAGAATTTAACAACTGTTGTTTTCTGAAAGATACTTACATTACAGAGATGTTAGTGTCTAGACCAAATAGAGCGACAGGATATCGAATACCCAAGGAAAAGTATCAATACGTGATAGGTAAGACGCCTTATGAATAACAACTACTTTATATTTCGATTGAGATGCTAATACTGTTGTCAAGGAAAATATCATGTCAAGCAAGACGTCACTGCTAATCTAATATCATGTCAAGCAAGACGGCACTGCTAATCTAATATCATGTCAAGCAAGACGTCATCACTGCTAATCTTATATCATGTCAAGCAAGACGGCACTGCTAATCTAATATCATGTGGCTCCGTAGCATGTCTGGAGCACATGTTGTACATATATGATAGGGGACTGTAAATACATCATATAACATTAAGATAAAATAAACTTGTAAAGTTGTTTCATACATAAAACTCAGTTATTGGGATGAATGGTACATATTTCATCTTGCATATCGTTTCTGCAATATATCCGAGACGACAGCACAATATTAACTACTAAAAAGAAACATGCCAACAATTACTTCATCTTTTGGGGCATTCAGAGCAAAATGTTGACATGGCAAAACCCTCGCGAGACACTTAAAATGTATGTCTATTTCCCATGTGCTCTGATCTGTCAATCATATGGCTAATTTACGGTATAGATACTTACAGAACTGCTGCCAAACATTTACTGCATTATTTACGGTAATGATTAAGACGGTTTTACGTAGACTTTACGGTATAGATACTGGCAGCATGTTAAGGTCTCACAGTGTACGTTCCACCTCGTTTGCCGCCAACACCACTTTTCCCTCACTCACTCACTCTTTTCCCGCCAACAACTGACCACACAGAGTCTCCCACAACGTGGTTGAAGATTATTCCTGCCATAATTATCTCTGTATTTGTGGTCACATTGAACATGTTTTAGCATAGTCAGTGAAACATGATTTTGTTTGTTTTATTGTGTAAAACCGCACTTGGCAAGAAGCCAGCTCTATGGAGGGCTACACACGTTTTCGTACTGTGGCACTGAACTGTTTCCATATTTGAATCTCTGTGTCTTTCTGTCTTCGCCGGTCATCTATAGTCCGTTTCCTTATTGCATTGTCCTGCATTATGGTATAATTTTAAAGTTACATGCTAGTTTTCAATATCTATATGTGATAATCTAGTCGTTTTACTGCCCTCTGTCGATTGTATCACGTAACTATATGTACGATCAATGTATGACTTGTGTTATTGACAATGTGGCTGAATTATCGCTGATGTGACTTACACTCGTACCTCACTAGGTCGTAAATATTGCCTGTAAGAAAATAAATCTTAACTAACTCACTCGGGGCATATTATAACTATCCAGAAGACAAAAATAATACTCTTATCACTGGATAACTTGTAGTTGTTTCAGCGATGCTACTGTGCGCAACTTGCCTCTGCAAATGAGGTAAAAAAATAATACACTTACTACTTCATGCAGCGTCACTACTATTGCCAAGACTCTGTGCATGACTTGCCTCAAAATCATTTGAGTGTAGAAATTGTTTGGTTTCACGCTTGATGAAATGTGCAAAAAATGAGAAAAGACAATTATCAGCTATGGCACACATCGGTAGAAACCATCATATTATAACGAGCCTGAAAATGAAAATAATACACTTATTACCTAACCTATTACACCTTTTTAAGCGATACTACTGCGTGACTTCCGTCGAAATCAGCTGCAATTGTCTCTTTTCATGCTTCATGAAATGTGCGAAATAATAAAAACACAGTTATCAATTTTGGTATACATTTCAAGAAAATATAATGTTATAACTAGCAGGAAGATGGAAATAATACACTTATTACCTAATAAATAATAGATTTTTAAGCGATACTACTATTGTCTAGGCGCTGTGTGCGACGTGCCTCAAAATCAGTTGAAATTGTTTCTATTCATGCTTCATGAAATATGCGAAATAATAAAGATACCGTAGTCACATTTGACATAGATCTCAAGAAACTAGCCTAAAGATGAAAATAATACATCATAAGTTACATTTTCAGAAGAAAAGATTATGTTGGATACACAAAACCAATTCTTGGTAATTCTATTAACAAGCCATGTTACCAAAATTATATATTACATTGTCTAATGCAAAGCATGAGGCCACAGCACCATTTTCACTGATCAATGAATATATGGAGAGTTATAAGCTGAAACAGGAATGTTGTCACTCACTCACTCACTCACTCCCCAACACCGGCAACCGCACCTGGGTACAGTCTGTCCAAGTTTTATAACCCGGCTGAGGTCGCTACACCATCAGCTTGTCATCCGCCCGAAGTCGGAGCGACGGCAGTGCACGTGCTGCACGTGGTTGAAAGTGACACCGCTCAACAGGACGTCAGAAATTGAGCCGTTGACACCCACGAAGTTTGTACATCATACAATCTGCCACTGAAACAAATAATATACTCATCATGCATATCCCCGTTTACTCTGCCAGGTATCCTGTTGATCATGTTTTAGTAAGGTGAAAAAGTAAATTCAAGCCTGTAAAACCAACAAATCAGTTTACAGAATTTGACAGTTTACATACAAATTTCAGAGCTATGACAACTGCCCAAAATTGGAGAAGAATAACAAATTACCGATGGGCCAGACAATCCAGTGATTGATACTACGAGAAAGGAACCACGGTAAAGGCAGGCTATCAACTTTGTTATTGTGCCTGACCACCCGTCCGCCCGGAGAGCGGAAGGTCGCGGGTTCGATTCCCGACGGCGTCATACCAAAAGACGTTAAAATATGGTACTTGTTGGTCCCTGCCTGGCGCTCGGCATTAATGGGTAAAACAAGGACTGTATAATGTCAGCTGGAGTCAGTATAATGAGTCTGAGTGGGGTATTCATGCTTCGCTGCGGCATGGTATCTCAGTGGGCTAGCACTATAAAACCAGCTTAAGTCTGGGCTAGTACAAGTAGCCGCACATACCCATACACACGCATGCACGTCGTCATATGAGCGAAATATTCTCAAGCACGAGGTTAACCCGATTTCACCTCACCTCACCTCACCTGACAACCAACCCATTAAGCTGCCTCTGATCATTTCTTAATCAGTTTTGTTGATGAAGAACATAATCATATAATTATGTTAAATTGGTTCCTTTGGGGTTCTTTTTAATCCGTAGCTACCAACATCCCATCCATGCGAAGGCCGTCTGTAAATATCTGAATCTGGATCACACATTCCAGTGCATCCTCGATAACTCCAGGGTATATGTTCCGATAACCCTCCACTATATATCGGAACGTATACCCTGGAGTTATCGAGGATGATTCCAGTGATTCACCACATGATACCAATTCATTCACACGCAGCACATGACCACCAGGTCGATTACGTTGCCTCTCAGACAAGCCCATGTTCTTACCCGGAACCCAGCCGGTCACAGACGTGTCAACAGTAACCAACAGCGGCTAGTAACTATTATATGGCTGGAATAATGCCGATATGACGTAAAGCCCAACTCAACTAATACCTATCCATGTAGTTCACACACATCAGTAATATAACAGTTTCTAGATATGTTTGGTAAACATAGATTGTTGCACGGGTTTTCCATGCTCGATGAAGGGTTGGTATGACAATGACACTTTCGACCATATTGAGCTTTGCCTGATTGCTTTTACATGTCGCGTGCAGGTGTGGCAAAGACCAGGCCCCGATTTCTCGAAACAAACTTAAGTTTTTTACTCAAATCTCAAACTGAGTTTGACAATTTTAAACAGCTAAAGTTTTAACTCAACTGCATTTTTAAAATAAAAAAGCCCAAACAACTTAAGTAATCTATCCACCAAACTCAAATTGCCAACTATGTTTGAGTTTAATATCAATTTCAGTTCATTATGGGAAATGCATTTTCTCAAATTTGAGTAAAAAACTTTAACTTATGTCAAAACTCAGACTTAAGTTTGTTTCGAGAAATCGGGGCCAGGTTGTGTGGAAACAAAGTGACAGAACTATTTTAGAGCTAAATAATGCTTGTACCGAGTGAGTGAACTTAAATATGACGTCACGCTGGCATTATTTCACCTATATCGTGATTGTGAAAGTTGTAAATAAATAAAACAAACAAAGACAACAAAGATGTATCCAGACATGACATGTCCACCTCAATAAATATACAATGCATTTCTATCCTTGGAAAGTAATTCAAGAAGTGAAAAAAATGAAGACCACATGAATATACATGTCTGCCACCCATGAAGATCGGGGTTACAAGGTGTTTTTCAGCAATCCCGACTAACGGGATCGGTTGGTTTGGCTCGCTGACTTAATGCATAAGGTTCATGAAAACGGGACTGTATGGTCCAGATTCCACTATTTATAGCTGGTATATTGCCGAGTCCTGCTTTAAACAACAAACAAACACTTTATGCTTTTTGTATTTTAAACAATTTCACGTTGGAGGACAACATAAATTCAGCGGATTAATGTTTTGCGGGTTTTTTATGGGCCTGCTTTTTGGGTAACAAATAGACAATACACTAATAATTTGTCATACATACCCTGAAACGGATATATAATGGACAGCCATTGGAAGTCTAGATTACTTAAGAAAAGGAAGCACTCTGGGCTCCCTGTCTATATAACCCTAATACAATTTAACAGCTGCTGGTTTTCAGTGAGATAAAGTCAACTCTGAGACATGTTTGTCTTTAGCAAGGGGTAACATGAACACATACATATATGACTGAGTTCTATACTCCTGCCATGTTAATGTAACTCAACGGTGTTTGATAATCTGGTTTCTCGCCTCCTTCACCATGTAGGTTATGAATATGTATAATGCCACTAAACCTGAACCAGTTAATGTCAAAGGTATTAGAGACCCTTCTATAATCTGGAACGAGACAGACAGATAAAGAGCACTTTAGCTTCACTGAAAAGAACAGATTGTGTAGCAATAGAGTGAGTGAGTATGCTTTTACGCCGCATTTTTAGCAATATTCCAACAATATCACGGCGGGGGTCGCCAGAAATGGGCTTCACACATTCTATCCATGTTAGGAATCGAACCCGGGTTTTCAGCGTGACGAGCGAACACTTTAACCACCAGACTACCCCCACCACCCCGTGTAGCAGTAGAGGATACTTTAACCATTCTTAAAGAATCGTTTCCAATTTAGAGATTATTAACAAATCAACACTAAAATAACATTCTGATGAAGGTACAGGTGAATATTTCAGTCAAACACTGTCTCAAGTCAATGAGTCCCTAGTGTAGTGATCTACTTTCAGTTGTTGGCGATCTATAGCCTGTTTTTAGCTTGAATTGTCCTAATAGTGCTAGTAGTTTTAACTTTCCACACTAGCTTTTATTCTTGTGATATTCTAGCTGTTTAACTGTCCTTTGATGACAGATGTTTATAATATACACATATTCCATTTCAATGTCAAATATGTTCTCGTGATGATATGGCTGAAATATTGCCGATGTGACGTTAAATATTAACTCACTCACTTACTCATGTCAATGATCATGATAAAATGTATTAAGTGAGGATATAACTGAGATCTAGTTGACGTTAACTTGGGTAGCATGGAGAGTGATAGATTATCAGGGAGTGGTGGTTTGCCATGTGAATTCTATACACTGTTCTGGGAACGAACTAAATAACATTATATATCAGCACTAACCTACCTTGAGAAGAATGATTTGTTTACAGCTCCCAGAGGAGAAGTACTGTAGTTGTACTGCCACCAAGGGTACGGACCGCAGTGTGTAAATAATTACACACTTATCACTTGATTCAATTTTGATTACACATGTTTCAATTTTGATTACACATGTTTGGTTAAAAATCACCTTAGGCTTGTAATTTATTGTCTGACGGATCAGACACAGACCTGTTTTCTTTGAAACATAGTCATTCATGAAGATATAAGATTTAGTGGTTATAATTGAAATTTGTGACGAAAAAAACATGTCTTGTTCGACTCGGCGGTTTATCTATGTTGCTTTCAGTCAGTTTGGATTTCCATTTAACTTATACGTGTTCATGTATAAACGACAAGCAAAGGAACAGATCATTATCATATCTGCAAAGAAGTTAAGTCCAGAAA